ACACAAATAAATATCTTTTTGATGAAATCTGAGAGCTTGCTGTGCCTCCATTGACAGCTACACAACTGACAACACATTGATGTGCATTGCATAAAATGTAGCTACTTTGAACTTAATATGGTCTCTGAATGCAATGCTAATTCTACAAGATACAAAAACAAAAGGCAACTTTGAGATGTAAAATTCCAAAGAGATCCATCCAACAATTATAAACAGCTTATATGCTTAAATCTTTTCCCCCAGAAAAACTAAAAAGAAGACTTTATACTTTGGTCCGTGATAATACCCCCCTAATGGCGAGTCTACTTTATATCCATGTGCTGTTAGAAATACTGGTGGAAAAAAAGTGCAGAGACAATTACATGGTAAGATTGGCAGTCTGAAGAGTTAGATCTTAATGAAAGACCTGTAATGGGACAGCATGTGCCGTGTATTGTATGCAGTCAGTCCTGATTTAGTGCTGCCGTCTGCCATGCTAACTGCATTAGGCCTTTAATTAATGCTAAGGGAACATTTTCAGACGGAGATTCAAACTGAAACCTCAAAGTATAGCCCAGAGAAGACTGATGCAAGATGACTGCAGTTGGAAAGGTTTTTTGCAGACACATCCAACCAAATATCTCATTTCTTTCAGTGAGGCTTTGTTCATGTTCCTTCTCATTTATGGGATGTTGGCAATTCTCAGCCCGCTCCTCTGATGGGTTTCTCTACTGATCTGTACAGCTCTTTTGTTCTTCTGTAGTATGTGTCAGTGGTTTTCAACTATAAATATAAGTCTGTTGAGTTTGTCCAAAAATGTTGTATTTAATAAATAAATAAATGGATGTTTTTATTTATTCTGACATTTCAATGTTTCATTTTAATGATATCCGATGTTGAATCCGACTTCTTAGTCATGAAGCAGAACCAGTTGATAAGCTCTGGTTTATGTGATATGGGACCAATTACCTAGTAGTTTATTGTTATTGCTTATGGCTAATGTTTATTTTCTCTCCCGTGTTTCCCTCAGGACTCCCCTCATTGCGGCTGGGGTTATTGGGGGATTGTTTGTGGTGATCATCGTGGGCCTGAGTGTTGCCATATCAGTCAGAAGGAAGAGCATCAAGAAGAAAAGAGCCTTGAGACGCTTCTTGGAGACTGAGGTTAGACAAAGTCCATCTTTTCTCTCTTTCTTTCTTTTCATACACAGCCTGAAAACCAGAAGGACCTTAACAGTAACAATCATAATCTGTTGATTGATATTCAGCTGTTTGTATTTAATTGTCAAAACCTTAATATTGTTTTTTATGATGTAATTAATTACAAAATGACAAAACGTAGTTCAACTTTATACAAATTCTAAAGACAGTTAAAAGTACCTAACTCAATCTGTTTTGATTACTATGTAAACCTCATGAACAGTCAAACTGAATTATTCCAATGCTGAGGATAATAGCCTATCTTTGCACCTCTTTTTAAAGAGATTGTATGTGTTAATTAAATGAACATTAATGAGAAGTCGTGTCCTTGCTGGTGGGATGTTGGCCTCACTTATGGCTTATTTTTCCTCTTAATGGTTACTGTTTCTGTCCTTCCTTTTCATTTACTCAATCTCCTTCTATCCTTCCTCTTAATATTGTTGTTTATTTTTCATATCACAGTGTGGGTGGAGGGTTCATAAATAGTGCAGGTTGCGCAAGTTTCTGTGCCCGAAGGTTCCAACCTCTCGTCTTCATGCTTACATATATCCTTATGGCCTCAGGCTTTGAACGGAGAGTACAATGCTCCTCAGATACTCCATAGAATAATCTGGAGCTGGCCCACGCATGCCACATAAGAAAGCACGTATTTGTGAAAATGGACATCATGTATGCCAATAACACAAATGGTCTTGAACGTTCCCATATCTCAATTTTCACTGGAATAGAGTGCTCCTATCACTATAAATTCATATTAAGTTGGAGCAGCACAATGCCACTTAGGTTTTTCAGCACCACGGACAGCTGATCTGTGTTTCAGCACCGCCTGCAGCGGACAGCTCCCTGGATCACAGCTCGTCCTCTCCCCTGGCTCTCCTCCGCCTTCTGTGTTCTGGCTCCTGATTTACAATTCCATTTAAATGAAGAAGTGCTATTGTTTTTTAATCAGGCGCTGTGATGAGCCGGGGGACGACGCAAAGGGTCGATAGAATGGCTGATTTACGCTCTCTCTCTCTAACTCTCATTTTCTCTTACGCTTCCCAATCTCTCCTACACACTTTCTCCCTTCATATTTTTATCAGGTTAACCTTCTCTATTTCTGTCTTTCTTTCCTGTATCTTCTCTCTTTGCTTTTTCTTCTTATCTCTGTCCCTCTCTTTCTCATCGCATTTCAATAGTTCCTTTATCACCAGGGGTTTTTATGCATTGATTGAACTCCCAAACTCTTATATGCGCCACATAATGGCTCAGAAAGACTAAATAAATTACAAGGAATTCATACACTATTGTCTGGGCTATTCAATTTATTTGAGTTATGGCCAAATGTTCATTGATTGTCCAGATTGATTTTAGCGTCACTGACAGCATCTTCCGTCCGTTGCTTTGTGTGTCTCAGTTGGTGGAGCCTCTGACGCCCAGCGGTGCGGCCCCAAACCAGGCCCAACTGCGCATTCTGAAAGAGACTGAGCTGAAACGGGTGAAGATTCTGGGAGCCGGGGCCTTTGGCACCGTCTACAAGGTAATGACATCAAAGAGGAGACAGAGGGAACTGAAGAAAGATATGTGCAGCCTGTATATTTTGATAAGGAAAGCATTATTGTAACTATTGCACATACATTTGCTAGGGGGTTATCAAAACTCTTAAAGGGATAGTTCACCCAAAAATAAAAATTCTGTCATTAATTACTCAACCTCATCTCGTTCCAAACCCGTAAGACCTTCGTTCATCTTCGGAACACAAATGAAGATCTTTTAATGAAATCCGAGAGCTTTCTGTCCCTCCATTGGCAGCTACGCAACTGACACTTTTGCACTTCAAAAAGTGCATAAAGAGATCGTAAAACTAATCCATATGAATTGAGCGGTTTAGTCCAAAGAGACACGATGGCTAGTTTATATGATGAACAGATTGAATTTAGGCTTTTATTCTATTATTTTATTAGGCTTTTATAACTTTTTTAAGCGTCAAAGTGGTAGTTGCATAGCTGTCAATGGAGGGACAGAAAGCTCTCAGATTTCATCAAAATATCTTAATTTGTGTTCTGAAGATAAACGAAAGTCTTACGGGTTTGGAATGACATGAGGGTGAGTAATTAATGACAGAATTAAAATTTGGGGGTGAACTATCCCTTTGACACTAAGGGCCCTATCTTGCACACAGCGCAATTGACTTTGTACACCGACGCATGTATCATTCCTATTTTGCACCCGACGCACAGCAGACTTTTCCCTCCACAGACGCACGTCGGTTAAATTAGGGAATGAACAGAGGAGGCGTGTTCCGGTGCAAACGTTCCCTGGTGCTATTTTGCAGTTCCAGAAAACAATTCCGCCACTGACCAGGAAAAACCTATAGTCTAAAGTCAGTGGCGCATTATTCAGATGCTATTTTAAGGGCGCATGCTTGGCCATAATGTAGCGTGTGCACAACACGTATACACTTTGCTTCTCTCATCTTCACAGACGCAGCAGTTCTCATTTTTGCAAATCATACATTATTACAAGGAAAAATATTAACACATGAGGCAAATCATTGTGGTATCCATGAAGATGTGAAAAAAATAGGCATAAAACTAGCTTACACATTTTCCCAAATTATTATAAGCCTGTTTAACCGAAGCTAATTTGGGTGGGTTTCTCCCATCCCCATACAATGTCACTTCTCTGTCTTTTACAGCCCTGATGAGAACGTCTGTCTCCTCGGCTGTGAACCGCTCCAGGCGTGCGCCTGGCAAATCCGCCATAATAATAGCAATCCGCCATGGAACAAGCGCGCCTGCTTTTAAAGGGAATGTGAGAAGACGCTCTGATTGGTTTATTGCACGTTACTCCCAAACCACACCTATGAGTAATGCAGCTACTTCAGACCAACCCATTTTAGATTTGCGTCGGGCGCAAGAGTAATTAATCCCGCCGGTATAATAGCAACAGTGCCCGAGATCCGCCGACAAAGTTACTTGTGTTTCGCATTTGTTACTTGCGTTTCAGATCGTTAAAATAGGGCCCTAAATATTGATTTGTTTTTATTTTATTTATTTTTTTGTGCATAACTTTCCCCATACGGTGCTATGAACATGAAAGATACACTAGTGTTCAAAAGTTTAGAGACAGTATGTTTTTAAAATAATTGTATTCAGCAAAGATGTATCAACATTTACATCGATAGAAAAAAATCAAGTATATGCTTTTCTTTTGAACTTTCTATTTATAATAGAATTTATAATAGATATTCCACATATCCAAATATTAAGCAGCACAACTGTTTTCTGAAGATTAGTATTAACTATATTGGTCAAATAAATGAGCCTTGGTGAGCATAAGAGACCTCTTTCAAAAGCATTTAAATATTTAACCAACCCCAAACATTTGATCTGTAGTGCACTTCAAATCAAAAGTGATCAAAACTCATGAAAATATCATACTTACTTTGAAGGAGGTATTTGAGTGTAGACTCTTTTTAATCACCTAACAACCAACTAAAACACCCTTATAACCACCTAGAACACCTTAGCAGTGTGTTAAGAACAGCTCAGAAGACTTTATCAACAATCTAGCATCAATGCATGCTAGTTTTGCATGAACATTCACATTTTCTACAGTAAAAAAAAAAAAACAGTGCATTTCCACACAATTCCCTCTAAGAAATATTTTTTTTTTTGTGATTTCAGGGTATCTGGGTTCCTGAGGGTGAGACTGTGAAGATTCCCGTGGCCATAAAGATCTTGAATGAGGCGACGGGCCCCAAAGCCAATGTAGAGTTCATGGATGTGAGTGTCACTCTGTTGCAAGGCTTGCGGCTGTAGTTTGTGTAATTCCACTAAGCGAATATTCAGCTCTTTAGCAGTTCAAAAGGAAAAATGCATGTAAACCTTGAAACATCTTCTTAGATGATGCAAGGACTATGAAACACTTACCAAAGGCAACACACACGCTGAGTGCAATCCAAAACAGGTTATTTCTGCTCATTTGCGTGTAGAAGCCAGTCCTTTTTCATGTTAGTAATGCATGTGTTTGTCTTCAGTAAGATATTTGAGCATATGTGCATGCATTAAAGCGTCCTCTCCATGACTCCCCCACGTAAGGTATTTCCCACAATTCATCAGTGTTAATGGGCATTTCACTTTCAGAATATTCTTAAGGGTTTGTAGATGAACAGATCCACTCATACTGCGCTTAAACAACAGACGCACGTGAAGGCGGCTCAGACGTGTATACGCTGGCCTCCGCTGTTGATTGGACGGGCACGCAATCATCTCAGCAGCTGGAGAATAGCAGGAGTGTGAATGCTCATTATATAACTGTCAAGTGTGTCATTTTATGTAGTGCTCAGATAATGGGTTTGTGTGTGTGTGTTTGTTGGATGTGTGTTACACGCTATTTTATTTTTTCAAAATGTTCGAACAAACGTAAGAGGATCCCTCCAAGGCCTGAAATCATATTAATGGCTGAGGTATCTTTTATTGCAGTAATATAACCTTATGGCCCGAGGTTTAGATATTATTTCTAAAATTATCCCCTCAGCTGTTTGTGGAAATTATATGTATTTTTTATGTTCTGCATTTTCTTAGTCCCTGATACTTTCATACTACGTGCCTTCTTTTGTTTGGACCACAGGTTAAATATGTTGGATATAAACTGGAATTTGGATCATAAATGTGTTCTCGTTTAATAAGATGCTTCACGCATTTCTTATTTTTGACTAGATTTACTTAATCACACTGTACTGAAGCACAGTAACTGAAATAGACAAGCATAAAGATTTTGTTAAATTTTGTAGATGCTCATCTTCAGCATGCAAGTGTGCAGTGTTAGTGATTTATGGGTAATAAGTCTGTCTAGTAAATCCTCCAGCTTACGCAATTGTCGTGAAACAAAGCGAATAAATCCAACACTCATTTTGCAGACTACACTCATTGCAGCAGACTATGACTATGGGGCTGTTCCACTTATGCATCTCAGTGGGACGTCATGGGTGTGTGTTTCAACATGCATGAGAAGTGCTTCAGAACAATTCTTGAATAAATTGTCTTTGCTAAAGCTGTTTGTAACATGTATGCACTTCTGTTTTTTGTAATTGAAACATGCTCTCATTTGTCAAATATAAGACACTGCCATTCAGTCTCACATATTTGTAGCCCAATAAGGCATGCACTGTTTATCTTGCTTCAGAATATGCCATCTTTTAACAGATAATGTATTGTTGGTATGAGCTGTGCAACAATAAAGCACACTACCGTTTCAAAGTGTGTGGGGTCCGTAAGATTTAGCAAGGACACATTAAATTGATCAAAAGTGACAGTAAATACATTTATAATGTTACAAAAGATTTCCATTTAAATAAATGCTGCTTCCATAACACAAAATAAGGTTGCGCAGCTTAATTGAATTGAAATTGAATGGAAACTGGTGTGTAAACATTTTTTTCAGGAATCTTTGATGAATAGAATGTTCAGAAGAAGCTTTTGTAACATACAATACTGTTCAAAAGTTTGGGGTCAGTAAGATTTTTTAATACTTTTATTCAGCAAGGTAAAAAATGGATCAAAAGTGACAGTAAAGACATTTATAATGTTACAAAAGATTTCTATTTCAGATAAATGCTGTTCTTTTGAACTTTCTATTCATCAAAGAATCCGGGGAAAAAATGTGTACACAACTGTTTTCAACATTGATAATAAGAATAAATGTTTCTTGAGCAGCAAATCAGCATGTTAGAAAGATTTCTGAAGGATCATGTGACACTGAAGACTGGAGTAATGATTTCCCAAATCAGGAATAAATAACATTTCAAAATATATTCAAATAGAAAACAGTTATTTTAAACTCTCATAATATTTCACAATAGCATAGTTTTTTTTTTTTTTACTATATTTTGGATTAAATAAATGCAGCCTCGGTGAGCAGAAGAGACTTATTTTAAAAACATAAAAAAATCTATCGATCCCAAACTTTTCAACAGTGTGTGTGTGTATATATATATATATACTAAAATCTAAAAGAACCAGCTGTGTTTACTTAATAAAAGAACAGTTTAAGACATTTACCTTACATGCTGTAAAATCTGAGATTTAATCCACTCATTGTGATTGATCGGTTATGGATTCCTGTGCTCTGAGTCACTGTTTTTTCCCTCCAGGAGGCTCTGATCATGGCCAGCATGGAGCATCCTCACTTGGTGCGGTTACTGGGTGTGTGTCTGAGCCCAACCATCCAGCTGGTCACTCAGCTCATGCCCCACGGCTGTCTGCTGGACTACGTGCACGAGCACAAAGACAACATCGGCTCCCAGTTACTGCTCAACTGGTGTGTTCAGATCGCCAAGGTAAGACACCCCAAATCCTGATTGAACCAGAGATTTAGAGATCTAGTTAAATGCAACATTAGTTGAGACCACTCTTATTTATCTTATATTTCTATTTGTACATATTAAATTCTTAAAGTGGTAAGAAATAACTTACTGTATGTTTAAAGTAAAAGTGTTTTTACTTGCTTTTTCTTTTTTTGGTCTGCTCTCTGAATTTACATTACATTAAAACACTGTTCAGATCTTCGCTCAATCTCTCTTCCTCCCAGTCATGCAGCGAGCATCATTTTGCCATATTTCTTTGACATTGGACCCCCAACCCCGTCTGCTGTCTGTACCACTCTGTTTATCTTCCTCCCACACCAATGGTGGTCATACTTCCTCCTCTCTGTGTCTCCCAGACTGGGAGTGCATCAGAGCAGCAACACCTCAAAGGCTGCTGGGATAGATAAGCAGCGTACAGCACGCTCTGTCTGATCTGAGCTCACAGTTGTATCTGTGAGCTTTGCTTTTTGTCACTCGAAACAAAACCTCTGACACCTCTGAGATGCAGAACTGTATATCAATTCTGTGTGTGTGTGGGAGGGGGGTTAAAACAATGATTTAAGCAGAACAGTAACAGAGCTATTTCAGGAATTATTGTTTGTTTACAAAATATTCTTAAAAGGAAAAGAAGAAAGGTATCTTGAATATGAGTGCACCGGGTTACACAGGAGTTACATCACAGATGGTAGTTGACATGACAATTTTAGCAGTGACTGCAGTATGAACTGATACACTTCAGCTAAAACTATTTTAAAGTTAACATGAAATGGTGTTTGCTGCCTGAATTGTATTTGATTATTAAAAAAATAGAGAGGGAGGGAAAGGGTACATACAGTACCTTTTAAAAATTATTTAGCAATGCTTTTGCGTTCTCTCGCAAATGTTTTGCATTTCCCTGAGAAACTTTGCGGTCGCTCGCAAAATGTATCCCTTAGAGTTTCCATATATTTTAGTTTCAGTATTGCCAGCTACTTTGTTTCCTTTTGCTCTGTCAACGGAAATGGTTGCAAACAAAGCCTTGGTGCAAATAAATCACACTTAGTAGTATGCTAAAAATGCGGTTTTAAATTCAGCAAGTGTTTCAGTTGAATGAATGATTCAATGACTCACTCATAAACTTGTTTGGTTCCTGAATTAATCTGTTTTTTTTTTTTTTTTAAGAAATGTTTGTGAGTGATTCATGACTCTCTCAAACAGTCAGCCCTTTGTCACCACCTACTTGGGTAACTATGTCACATGCAGAATGGGTTACTGAAAAACAAATAATTATAAATATTGTAATAAAATATTTTTATAATAGATACATTCTCTAATGCATACAAATACACTTTATAACCAATAGAAATGAATGTCCATGTTAGCCACTGCTGGTGTGAGTTTAGCTTTGTATTGTACAGATGAAGCCAGATTCAACTGTTTAAATGAATCTCATGCATTTAAATCATAGTTTAAGAGGGCTAGTTGGTATTCAGGTGTTTGGTTGCTGTACTCACATGACCACTTCAGTGGCTTTCCAAATCAGCCATGCAGAATAAAGATTTTAGGCACAATACTTTTGAGAAATGTTAACCTGAAGTGATACAACCAGAGGTTATTATTTATGTATTAGGCTCACCTTATGATAGTCTTTCTAAGAGCAGGCTGCAATGTGGGAGTAAAAGCAGACAGTGTCTGACCTGTTCTTTTCAATATAAAACGGGCAAAACGAGCCAAGGCTTTAGAAATGTCACCTCATATACTCATTGTTAAATTACTGGCTTCAAAATAATACCATAAACCAACCTTTCACCGATGCATTATACAAAGATATAGAGAGATATTTCAGTTAGCCAATTCCTTGGACATATACAGTATATTAAGCCCTATTGCAAACAACTGCGGTGATTGTGGATGTGGTTCATCTTTATCAGTGAAACAGGGCTTTGGTGTTTCTGAAACTGTTTGTTTTGCATACCTTTTATTTGAATCCATTGCACAAAGATGACCAGTTACTATACACCAACTCATTTTGAGAAGAAAAAAATAATTTTTTACTTATGTTTTGTTGTGGTCCATGCATTATTGATGAAGCAAAACCGTGGTATATGCATTATTTACAAGTACCTTATTACAGACATAGAGTGTGTTGTTTTTGCAATGCCCTCTTCATGCAGCTTCTTTGACATTTACACTCATACTCAAACAGTGTGTGTGTGTGTATTAGGCCACCTGGCTATGAGGTGTTTCTTCTAATGAGGCCAGAGGAAAAGAAAAAACGTCAAATAAACAGAGAAAGGACAATCAGGTTTGAGAGATAGTTGTGTAGTTATATATTGTTCTATACAGTGTGTGTGTATGTATGCAGGTCCTTCTCAAAAAATTAGCATATTGTGATAAAGTTCATTATTTTCCATAATGTAATGATAAAAATTAAACTTTCATATATTTTAGATTCATTGCACACCAACTGAAATATTTCAGGTCTTTTATTGTTTTAATACTGATGATTTTGGCATACAGCTCATGAAAACCCAAAATTCCTGTCTCAAAAAATTAGCATATTTCATCCGACCAATAAAAGAAGTGTTTTTAAATACAAAAAAAAAGTCAACCTTCAAATAATTATGTTCAGTTATGCACTCAATAGTCAATACTTGGTCGGGAATCCTTTTGCAGAAATGACTGCTTCAATGCGGCGTGGCATGGAGGCAATCAGCCTGTGGCACTGCTGAGGTGTTATGGAGGCCCAGGATGCTTCGATAGCGGCCTTAAGCTCATCCAGAGTGTTGGGTCTTGCGTCTCTTAACTTTCTCTTCACAATATCCCACAGATTCTCTATGGGGTTCAGGTCAGGAGAGTTGGCAGGCCAATTGAGCACAGTAATACCATGGTCAGTAAACCATTTACCAGTGGTTTTGGCACTGTGAGCAGGTGCCAGGTCGTGCTGAAAAATGAAATCTTCATCTCCATAAAGCTTTTCAGCAGATGGAAGCATGAAGTGCTCCAAAATCTCCTGATAGCTAGCTGCATTGACCCTGCCCTTGATAAAACACAGTGGACCAACACCAGCAGCTGACATGGCACCCCAGACCATCACTGACTGACATAATGACACTGGACTTCAGGCATTTTGGCATTTCCTTCTCCCCAGTCTTCCTCCAGACTCTGGCACCTTGATTTCCGAATGACATGCAAAACTGAGCAACAGTCCAGTGCTGCTTCTCTGTAGCCCAGGTCAGGCGCTTCTGCTGCTGTTTCTGGTTCAAAAGTGGCTTGACCTGGGGAATGCGGCACCTGTAGCCCATTTCCTGCACACGCCTGTGCACGGTGGCTCTGGATGTTTCTACTCCAGACTCAGTCCACTGCTTCTGCAGGTCCCCCAAGGTCTGGAATCGGTCCTTCTCCACAATCTTCCTCAGGGTCCGGTCACCTCTTCTCGTTGTGCAGCGTTTTTTGCCACAATTTTTCCTTCCCACAGACTTCCCACTGAGGTGCCTTGATACAGCACTCTGGGAACAGCCTATTTGTTCAGAAATTTCTTTCTGTCTTACCCTCTTGCTTGAGGGTGTCAATGATGGCCTTCTGGACAGCAGTCGGGTCGGCAGTCTTACCCATGATTGCGGTTTTGAGTAATGAAACAGGCTGGGCTCAGGAATTTTTTTTTTGCAGGTGTTTAGAGTTAATTAGTTGATTCAGATGATTAGGTTAATAGCTTGTTTAGAGACCCTTTTCATGATATGCTAATTTTTTGAGACAGGAATTTTGGGTTTTCATGAGCTGTATGCCAAAATCATCAGTATTAAAACAATAAAAGACCTGAAATATTTCAGTTGGTGTGCAATGAATCTGCAATGAATATATATACACTCACCGGCCACTTTATTAGGTACCCCATGCTAGTAACGGGTTGGACCCCCTTTTGCCTTCAGAACTGCCTCAATTCTTCGTGGCATAGATTCAACAAGGTGCTGGAAGCATTCCTCAGGGAGTTTGGTCCATATTGACATGATGGCATCACACAGTTGCCGCAGATTTGTCGGCTGCACATCCATGATGCGAATCTCCCGTTCCACCACATCCCAAAGATGCTCTATTGGGTTGAAATCTGGTGACTGTGGAGGCCATTTTAGTACAGTGAACTCATTGTCATGTTCAAGAAACCAATTTGAAATGATTAGAGCTTTGTGACATGGTGGAAGTAGCCATCAGAGGATGGGTACATGGTGGCCATAAAGGGATGGACATGGTCAGAAACAATGCTCAGGTAGGCCGTGGCATTTAAACGATGCCCAATTGGCACTAAGGGGCCTAAAGTGTGCCAGGAAAACATCCCCCACACCATTACACCACCACCACCAGCCTGCACAGTGGGAACAAGGCATGATGGTTCCATGTTCTCATTCTGTTTACGCCAAATTCTGACTCTAACATCTGAATGTCTCAACAGAAATCGAGACTCATCAGACCAGGCAACATTTTTCCAGTCTTCAACTGTTCAATTTTGGTGAGCTCTTGCAAATTGTAGCCTCTTTTTCCTATTTGTAGTGGAGATGAGTGGTACCCGGTGGAGTCTTCTGCTGTTGTAGCCCATCCGCCTCAAGGTTGTGCGTGTTGTGGCTTCACAAATGCTTTGCTGCATACCTCGGTTGTAACGAGTGGTTATTTCAGTCACTGTTGCCCTTCTATCAGCTCGAACCAGTCTGGCCATTCTCCTCTGACCTCTGGCATCAACAAGGCATTTCCGCCCACAGAACTGCCGCTCACTGGATGTTTTTTCTTTTTCGGACCATTCTCTGTAAACCCTAGAGATGGTTGTGCGTGAAAATCCCAGTAGATTAGCAGTTTCTGAAATACTCAGACCAGCCCTTCTGGCACCAACAATCATGCCACGTTCAAAGTCACTCAAATCAACTTTCTTCCCCATACTGATGCTCGGTTTGAACTGCAGGAGATTGTCTTGACCATGTCTACATGCCTAAATGCACTGAGTTGCC